TAATAAAATAACTTTTTATGCAAAACATTGGGGCCACAGAGTTAGTACCTCAATTCTATTCATTACAAAGTATTACGAAGGTATTAGATATTATCTTTGCTAAATTATGTGATTTCTTGTGTAGCTGGATTAGGAGTAGCACGATTTTATTTTCTTGAGGTTTGCTGTGAACTAACAATCAGGCGTTGATATTCGGACAGAAAAGAAAGGAAGTTCCAGCTTGTAACTGTAGCTGCGTTGTGTAGGGCCTAAAATGTTGTGTTGTTTATTGGTATCTTAGAGTATGTTTGCCATAGTAAACCATGAAAACCCAGCATACTAAATGACCAAAACACCAATTGGTATGTTTACTTTCTAGTGCCATCAATATTTTATGAATTTCTCATTTCTTAGATAATGTGTTAACGTAACATGTTCCTTAAAACTATGATGTTGTACAGCGCCTTAAAGTTTTCTGAGGGCAATCAAACGTTTGTCATCCAAATGCATCTAAAATGAGCGTCACAAGGGACCCTATATCGGCAAGCTTAACCGTGATTTAGCTGTACCCACAGTTCTTTCAGACAGAAACAATGCTCTTACATACTCTTTAGTTCTTAAATAATCTTGTGTTCTATATAAGACGGGATACTCAATAGGTAATTGTAGATAAAAAATATATCATTACTACTTTGCAGTAAATGGTACTCCACAATAATAACAGCGTTTTATGTCACCGCCACTGTTTGAAGTGGTTATAGCCACTGAAGACCTCTTTAACATTTAGTTTTATGCCGACTTAGTTCTATTTTAAAATAATGTATACTTGCGCCTACGTCATATTTAATGCAAAAAAATACTGTTATTTGTTGCTTACGCGGCAGCAAATAACTATGGTTTTTTGCATACATTAAATGCTTTTTTAGTATATATAGTCCAGTCATTATAGTAAGTTCACCTCGGAATTCGAGATACCCAGCTGTAAGTCTGTAAATACTTGTATATTGTCACCTTAAAAGTTGTCTCAAAACCTACATATGGTAGGGTGTAAGCAACTATTAAATTTCAAGGTCAAAAGTCACAAAAATCGGTTTATTGCGCTTTTTTTGGAAATATCTCATTTCCTATGGGTTTCTGCTATTTGTATTCATTTTCAATATCTGAGAATACAAAATTCTCTACAAATTTTGTTCAAACATTTTTTTATACGGTGAACCGTTTTCGAGATAGAGGGCGGAGAGCGCGCGGTCACAGCATCACTTCAGGTCAACCGGTGCCTCCGGTCGAAAACGCGCCATATATAGTTGATGAACTACCGATAAATCAATGATTATAAATAAAAATTGTTCGGCCCAGAGATTATTAGAGAGTGGAACTCAAACCTTATTGGCAGTCTATAATGCTCCGAAATCTGTGAAAAGTCTTGATCATCTTCGTTATATGCATTACGTCAAGTCTACAAAACTTAACAAACCTGTGCAGCTTTCAAATATTCCACCAACAAGTGCAGCTGCTCATCAACATTTCAACCGTGTATATTATCAAGTTCAAACTTGGTTAGGACATGATTTGGAACCCCAGGTATGGGGTTGGACAATGCGAAATGATTTTCTGGAGCCTATCATGACAATTTTACCACCTGCTCCAGAAGATTTGCTAAATACAATTTTCTGCAACTGCAAGAGTGGTTGCACCAACCTCTTTAGCTTGTGGCCAATGTAATGGGCAAGCTTGTCTCAATGCTCTACCATATCAGAGCGACATTAACGAAGATGGAACCTTTGACCCCGAAATCATGGAAGAACTTGAGACAAATGTCGTTGAAGACGATAATGAAGACCAGTTTGAAATTTACCAGCATCCAGAAGACGACGATGAAGAGGAAGAAGATGATTAAAATTATAAATTGTAGTTTTTGTACCCTTTATTCCATTTTTTTACTTTCAATCAAAATAAATGTATTCAATGATATTTTTTAATAAAAAGATTAATTCATAATTTATTTGTTTTTTTTTTCATCATGTAAGAAGTTATTAATATTAATTAGGTTAAAATTCAAATATAATTCCTATATTTTCATTAACAATTCTGCAATTACATGGGCAGGTAATGTTGTTAAATAAATTAATACTGAATAAAAAGTGGATAGGTTAGGAAAAAATGATAAAATATAATATAATAGTTAATAAAAATTGACAAATATTTATAATCCTTGATTTATCGATAGTTCATCAACTATATATGGCGCGTTTTCGACCGGCGGCACCGGTTGACCTAAAGTGATGCTGTGACCGCGCGCTCTCCGCCCTCTATCTCGAAAACGGTTCACCGTATAAAATTTTTTTTAAACAAAATTTGTAGAGAATTTTGTATTCTACAATATTGATAATGAATACAAATAGCAGAAGCCCATAGGAAATGAGATATTTCCAAAAAAAGCGCAATATACCGATTTTTGTGACTTTTGACCTTGAAATTTAATAGTTGCTTACACCCTACCATATGTAGGTTTTGAGACAACTTTTAGGGTGTCAATATACAAGTATTTACAGACTTACAGCTGGGTATCTTGAATTCCGAGATTCTTACCTAATTTAAGCTTAAATGACTGGACTAATATGAGATAGGAAGAAGTAAATTTTGACCAACGTCATGCGTTGATGTCTTTTATAGGGGGAAAATATTGTGAGCGGATCCGGCGGCTGGGTCTCAAAGTGGCTCTGCACAAATCCGAGGCCTTGTTCTTTCATGGGTCTCGGAGGAAGCCACTTGAGGGATCCAGCCTCATAGTAGGATGCACTCGCATCGGCATCGAGCCCTTGATGAGGTATCTGGACTTCGGACATGATTGCCGATCTCTGGCCCCAAGTTGGTTGGAGCAGCGCGTGCATTGGCGTGGCTGCTGCCCAACATGAGGGGACCCGCTGACTTTGCAGGAGACTCTACTCGAGGGTTGTTCGGTCCATGGCCCTTTATGGGGCCCCAGTATGGGCCCTGATGGCCAGCAACGTCGCACTACTGCGACGATCGCAGCGAGGGTTGGTCATCAGGGTCATAAAGGGGTACCGCACGATCTGCTTTCAGGCGGCGAGTCTCCTGGCCGGAACTCCACCATGGGACCTGGAGGCGAGAGCCCTTGCAGCTCTGTATCAGTGGCGCAAGGAGGCGTGGGAGTTGGCTCGGAGTCCTGAGACTCGAGAAATCGAGGACCAGAAATACAAACTACACCGGATCCTCGTAGAGGAGTGGCACGAACGACTTGGGCAACCGAGCGCCGGGCACGCCATTATCGCGGCGGTAAGACCCGTTATGGAGGATTGGCTCGAAAGGCATCACGGGACCCTCTCATACCGGTTGACGAAGGTGATCACTGGGAAAGGATGCTTCGAAATCACCTGTGTCTGATCCGCAAGGAGCCAACGCCTGAGTGCCACCAGTGTGATAGCCGGACCGTGGACGCGGTGATCCACACGGGCCAGGTATTTCTGGCGAGCGAGAGTGCGTGGAACTCTGCCGTCTCCTTCTGCGAGCAAGTTATGCTTGCGAAGGAGATGGCAGAGCGGGACCGGGACAGGTTTAGAACTCTCCCGGCCCGCCAGGCCCGGCAACGGGCCAGGTACCGCAGGCGGCTCAGGCGCCGGAGGTCTCAGAACGACCTCCGTCCTCCATAAGCGCGGGTCTGGGGGCGACAGGTGAGGTCATATGTCACCGTAGCAGAAGCAGGCCGGGGTTGACGGCGAGAGGCGCGCGCCCTTTTGGGAACACCAAGGGAACATGGGGGTTCCCACACATGATTCCCCGTCATCTACCCGCCGTAGATGGCCCAAGGTACGTCGGAGTACAGGGATTTCCTTTCTAGGGTACACCTGGTTCGCCGGCTACTGGTACCCGATACGGCGTACGGTTTTTATTCGGTTCGAGTCCGACATAGCCACCGGTAGGTTTATCCGAGGGGATTACCGCACGGAAAAAAAAGGGGATTACCGCACAGAAAAAAACAAAAAAGGGGAAAATATTGTTTTAATTTGACATCTCGTGTCGTTAACAAAAATGTGTCGTTCCTGTTCTTAGGTATGTTAATTAGGAGTATAGGTGGGCTACGTTTAGTGATGAAGGGTATGTAGATGACCACGGAAAAGACAATGTACAATAAACTGAAAGAAATGAAAATAAAATTTTGAGAAAAATCAAAAAATATAATTTCATTTCATTTCTTTCAGTTACTTGAATTATTAACTTAGTAATAAATAATTAATTTACCTGATTAATTCTGACAAAATTAAGTTATATATTAAGTCAAAATATCGATATCACCAGATTCAAAAGGTGCATTGTGTATATAATCATGTATGTTTACACCCTTTGAGTCCCGAGGGAGACATAATCATATAATTCATATGGACATAACTTCAATTATTCAACAATTGGTGTTATTCTAAAATTTTAGAGAAATGCAGGTTTATCTAAGCTGCTGTTATGGAGAGAAAAGTGGTCTTCCGAAATGAGTACATTAATTTATAGTCCAATTATTTTTATGTGCATGTTATCAAAACCAAAACTCGGTTAGGATTTACCTGAAATTAGTATCATGACAATTAATTTATTTAAGATTTATTATCTTTCTTGTAATATCTGTAATACAGTTATTTGTCCAATCAACACTCACTTTTATATTTTCTATTACAGCGCTTTTAGTCTTGTAACTTGAGTCACCTTTCGCTATAAACTAAGACTCATATAATGGTCATATCGTTGATCAAACCCGTATTGCTTGAGTTGTATCTTAATTGTAGGCCTAAATTATTAAATAAAAATATTTTTCCAAATGGAATAAATACTTTGTATTATAATTACTTTGTATTACAATTGTAATGGTATGGCGTAAAAATCTACGCAATACCATTACTATTATAATACGAAGTAAAAATGCGTTAAAACTATTTTGCTGAAATAAATATTTTTATACCTATATGTATATTACATCACAGATTTGCTTTATAAATATAGTAATAAATATGTAACTAACATAATTTCCCCCAATCTTCTTTAATCATGTCGGCACCTTTTTCAGCTATCATGTAAACCGGAGCGTTTGTATGAGCCGAAACTATTTCAGGCATTATGCTAGCGTCTATCACTCTGAGACCATCTATACCGTGCACTTTTAACCTTGAGTTCACGACAGTAGTTGGGTCTTCTTCCTTTCCCATTTTACAGGTTCCGCTTTGATGATATATAGTAAAAGTAAACATCTGAGCTTGACACGCGAAGTATGCGTCACTGCCGAACGGACCGTATTTTAGACAGTCCTCAATCGGTACATCGTACAGCTTTGTTCCAATCTTTCGCATTGCGGGCTGCCTCGCTATCTCTATAGACACTTTTATTCCTTCTACTATCTTTTGCAAGTCTTCAGGATATTCAAAATAATTTGCCATTAGCGACGGATGCGTTTTTGGGTTTTTATTTCGTAGCATGACTCTTCCCTTAGATTTTGGCCGCATTAACATAGGGAAAATCATAAATACGTCGGATTTGCCCAATGGCCCATAGGTGTCGGAGTAAATTTGTTCGTCAAAACCAAAGTTCCGACGTAATAATGGATCAGCATTCAGTCCACCGGATATAAAAAGCAATTCCATATCTGGCCATCCAGTAGAATTAAATTTATCCTTTAGGTCCATAAAAACTAAAGCCTCGCATCCACCAGGAACAGACAGCGGACCTTTGTGCGATCGCATCCACTTAAAAACTAAGTCTAAGTTATTTAATAGGTACTCCGTCGATAAACTCATATTTTGGTGACGAACTAAAAATTGCACTCCACCGGCTGCGATGTGGTCCATTAGGTTATAACCAACTGGTAAATCTTTAATGACATTGATTCTCATTTGTTCTAAATGACTTTTAGGTCCAATACCTGACAACATCAATAATTGCGGCGAATTGATAGCACCAGCTGAAACAATAACCTCCTTTCTGGCTAGTACTTTTAGTTTCCTATTTTGTTTTTCTAATTCAATGCCTATTACTTTTGTGCGCGTAGAGTCATAGATAAGTTTAGTCACCATACTTCCTTTGGATACGTGTAGATTATTTCTACCATGCACTGGATGCAAATAAGCTCTACTTGCACTATGCCGAGTTCCATTTTTCATTGAAAGTTGAAGAAAAGATACTCCTGCCGTGTCAGGTCCGTTATGATCTCCGTATTTAAATCCTAATTCTTGGGCTGCCTTAACCCACGCTTTGCCTTTGTTGGTACGAAAAGGGGCATGTTCAACATGGAGATATCCTTCATATCCATGATGATCCTTATTGTTGAAAGTAGGTATGTTAAAATTTTCAACTTTTTTGAAATATGGGAGCACATTATCCCAACCCCAGCCTTCATTGCCCATATCTTTCCAACCGTTATAGTCCTGTTCAGTTCCACGCGTGTAAATCATGTAGTTTAATACACTAGAGCCTCCCATGACCTTACCACGGGGCCAGTTGCATTGTTGATTGTCAAATCCCGCACAATACTTGTTTGACGGTTGTGTTTTATATCCCCAATTAGCAGAAGTGAACTGCAGATAATTTGCCAATATAGGAATATCCATCACAAAGTTTTCATTAAGTCCTGCTTCTACAAGTAGGACTTTCCATTCTGGAATTTCTGTTAGTCTATTTGCTAGAACGCACCCTGCAGTGCCTGCTCCTACGATTATGAAGTCGTATTCGGATAGTAGAGTGGTCTGATCAGGAGGTTCGTTGTCGAGCTGTTTAGAGCCTTCGTGCAAAAAGTTCATGAACGAGCTAATTGTATTAGCTAATTGTGTGTCAGTTGGGAGCAGGAGGGTGAAAAACACCCACAGTGCCGCCGCCAATATGGGCGTGCGATGCTGATGCCTCATCTGGAAATGAATTAAAACAAACATTATAATCAAGTATGATCTAGATACAAATTAAACGTTGCTGAGATTGAGTTCAACATGAACGGAGAACAAAAGGATAAAACAAGTGATCGCGTGACTTTGCATTTTAAGTAGCTGATCCATTCATATTAGGCCTTCGCATGTTTCTTTGAAAGTACTTCTTGATCATCGTTTTCCTTTTAACTAACCAATTTATAAATAACCAATAGCCGCAACCTTATTTGTAGATGTGGGTTCTAGTGACAGACATACACACATAAACAAACATACACATACTCTCGCCTCATATTGCGTCCGGGTTAGACAGATACGATAGAACGCCATTTGTTATCATCTCTTACTTATTTATTTATGGTTTACTTACAGTCGAAACATAGTTATTTAAGTTGACAAACTATATCTATTAGAAAGAAAAGAAAGAAAGAAACATGGCCGCTATGAGCTGTCAAAACCAGGTCATCCCTATTGGTAGACCCTTTATAACCACTTTCAAGAAAACAGTTCTGTTGTTGATGCACATAGTTTTATATTAACTATAGTGTTTATAGGATAACATGTTTTATTTAATTTAACTATGAACACGAACGGTCATCAATACGGCCACACTGTGTGCGCGACCAAGCACCGGCCGTGATTACAGGCAATTTTAAGGAAGATTAAGAATGAATTAATAGCTTATTTGTTTATTGGTATGCACATAAAACAATACCGTTATTTTATAATGTGAATGCGTTAGCAATTGAAATGACTCTCGTGTATAGACCTAAATAATGTGTGTGCAAACATATGATATGAAACATATTTTTTTAAAGATATATATATATATATTATATTAGGGGAGGCTACTAACATACTTTCATCGTTCATTTTAATCCTAAATATGCTTGAAATACCCTTTTAGAATAAACCTATTCTGTTGATCTAGTTAGTGTAACTTTTCAACGTTCATCAAATCTTTCATTCGCGCTCGTCGGTGCTTATAACGTGGTCTTTCTTCAATCTACTGCCAATTTAGTCAGTATGCCTCTTTCGAGAGCTTCCTGCACCGGCTCGCCTACTCACAAGGCCTTTATAAAACTTTTTTAAGTCAATCGCACAATGGTTCAGCCTAAAATTTGTGTTCTAACCTCGATACGTCGAGTTGCCTGACAAGTTTTTCTTGTCAAAAATTGTATTGTTAATTTAATTCTTCCTATTTTTAATGTTTTTATCATTAGAGGGAATCCTAAAATAAACCAGTTTTATTATAGAGTTACGCAAAGCTACCGTAACGTTGATCCGGGTTGCCATAAATTATTAAGATTTTTATATTGACGTAGTTAAGTAGTTAATTTACAATTTATTACCTTATAGTTGCTAGATACTGTTTGCGCGATAAACCGCCACCATAATAAAGACAAACAATCATTCTAACACAGTGTCAGAATATGGAAGACTCACAAAAAGAACATTAGATTTAAAAAGAAGAAAGTAAGTAAAACACTATCACAAAGTTCACCACAACTGTTCACGACAAGTTAACCGCATGAATGTGATCTTATTTTTAAATTATTTGGTGTTTGATTGAAATTTTAATAATTATAAAAATCATTAAAATGTCATTAAAATTAACAATGAACGTTGTGACCTATAATTTACCTTTTAAAGATTCTTATTTAGTATCGATAAATGCTAGAAAATATTAATATAATGATCAAAAATTTTCCAAATAGTGATGAGGACAAAAAAGGAATTCTTAGAAAATATTATACTATATATTCAAATTTCAAATTCAATTCAATTTTCAATTTGCATATATGACTATTGTTGTAAATAAATAAATAAAAAAAGCCTAGTATTATTGAGTATATGCATTTTATTTTAGGCCACCACTATAATATATATGTTTAACAATAATATATATATAATATGTTTTATAAATAATTATTATATAATATGTTTAATATTTAAATAAATGTTATATTGTATTACATTTATACTCATATCAACGATATAGAGGCAAGGTTGTCAGAAGTAGCATATTGTAAAGAATATTTTTATTAATTCTTCTTTAGCGGCGAAGTACACTTTTTTTGTAATGGGTAAAAAAGGTTAAATTCGCGTCAGGACACGTGACCTGATCGAAAATTCGTAAGACGGATGGAGAGTACAGTGTTTATGTTACAGCGTGCTACGCGCATCCATGGATGGTGACAGCGTCTCAATTAATTGTCATGTTTGTGTACGATAGCGCTAAATAAATATTGTATTCTACCACATAAATTATAGTACTTTTATACTGATAATTAAAGCAATTCGTGCAAAATTATTCCCTAACCATTCCAAAATATTCAAGTTTTCACTTCTGCCAGCACTCCCGGAGTGCAACCTGTCGTTTCTTTTTATCTTAGGATTAACACTCAAACAAATTGTGTTCAATATTATACACATAATATTTGCCTTGAATATCGTGACTTGCCCCTGAGATATCGCTCGCCTGACTTTATTATTTCACTTTTCAGTATTTGGTTGAACACAGTAAAACATTTTTTTGCACAAAGTTACTGTCTGTTAAAAGGTTTAAATAAGTGAAACTTAGACATACTATTCTATTATAAATAGGCCTACCATATGTTATTATATCTATTGAAAATGCTTCTTCGTAATTTTATCTAGGCTTAAAAATTAACATAGTTTATTTTCTGGTACTAATATAATACACAAAAATATATTTTTAAAGTGCCTGTTTGGTAATATTAAACAATTTCAGCAGGCATAGGTTTTTAGAGAATAATGCTGGCTGTACATACAGCCGAATACATATACGAGTACACGGTACATTCGGTTATACCGTTAAAGCTTATTGCATTAGATATGACACATAAAAAATGAATATAATTTATATCTGGTAAGTATGCATGTGACCCTTATAACGACCGACCATTTTGCTAACTGTATTAGTGTTAAATTAAATACCTGGCATTGTTTATTTTTGTTAAGTTTTACTGCTTTGTTTAAAATTGAACATAATTACATTACATTATCCATAAATAACAAACATTTAAATTATATTTTAAGTACTGGTATAATATAAAAAATCCTTCCTGGAATAAAACTTTGTTTACCTATTTTTAATAATTATAATAGAAAGAGAAATAATAATATACAGACAATTTTCATCAACTTCTATGTATCTCTTGTTGTATAGCGTGTTTGTGAGCAGCGGTTATCGCCGTCTCGAGAGCCGCCTACACGTTTACAGGTCAGTAGTGCTCATAAAAAACCCAAGTATCAATTCACAAAATAGCAGGATCTCTGCGAAGGCTACGGAACTTTCTTCCTAACAATACTAAAATTGCGTTCGCACAATCTCTCCTTCTTCCCATCCTTGACTATGGCGATGTCAGCTATCTGGATCTCACCGAAGACCAACTGAATAAACTTGAGCGACTCCAAAACCTATGTATTAGATTCATATTTGGATTACGCAAATATGATCACATCTCAGAGTATCGTTCTAAACTCAAGTGGCTACCAACACGCTTTTGCCGGAATCTTCATATTCTTTCTCTTTTATACAGTGTTCTGTTTCACCCCACACACCCTCTTATCTCAAGGAACGTTTTCAGTTCTAACACACAACACACATTGCAGGGACTTGAGTTTATCGGAGAATTTTAAACTAAAAATGACACAACATTTCACCCGGTTTTCAGACAAATCTTTTACTGTGCAAGCAGTAAGACTTTGGAACAACTTGCCTTTGACAATCGGACAAGCTAAAACCTTGCCCGTTTTCAAAAAGCCAGTGAAGGATTTTTATTTGACATAATTACTGATGAAACCAATTTCATTATATATAGTACATATTTAGCACTGTATGTATATATATGTTAAGTGATTTTATATAAATTTATATATATATATATAATGTTTAATGTTTCCTGGCCAGCGTGGTATAGTAGGCCAAAACCTTCTTTCTAAGGAGAGGCCTATGCCCAGCAGTGGACGATTAAAGGCTGTTGATGTGATGTGATATATAATGTTTATGTATGTGTGTATGTATGTACCTATGTGTATTTATCTATGTGTAATGTGAAGAGATGTATATTTTTGTATGAATGCTTTTGTTGATATTTTTTTAATATTCACGTGATAATGCATTACGTGTATGTAAACTACCCAATGTTTTTAATATCTAATATCCTTATTAAGGTTGTCTGTAAGAGATCGCTGTGAGCGATAAGAACGCCGATTGTTACGTCTATATATTTGTAAGTAACTTATGTGTTAACTGTGTGCAATAAATACATATTATATAAATTAACAATTTTCATAGTCCGTATCAGTTAAATTAAGTAATGTATGTTAAATGACCTTAAAAAAATCTAAATATTTTTTTTTAATATTATTAATCTAAATATTTTACAGTTCCACAAGCCCACTAGTAGCAGGTCGTTATTCGTATAAGTGTGTGTGTGTACTTTGCGGTAGACTTTCAAGAGGACACTTACTATAATCTAGCGTTATGTTTTGTCTGTGACTAACATTATTTATTTGATGTATGTCAAGTACTTAACAGCAATTCATCTACTGCGCTCTAGTGTACAATAGTTTTCGTGCTTATGTATAAATCATGTGTGATTGTATTGTGCACACTGACGGGTGGTAGATAAGGCTCACTAAGGTTATGTTCAGATGACCGACGTTAATCATTGACATGCGTTTTAAAAACACGCGTCGGGCCAGAAAGTAAATCAGTGTGTAGGTGTATTGAACAAAATTGGTGTACATGCGAAAGCGTTGTCAAGACGCGGACTTAATCTAAACTTAGAATATAAATATTGTACAATTATTTTTTTGCTCAGGTAAATATACGTTTTAAAATATAACTTACAATTATTTTTTTGTAAGGTTTTATGAAATAAGAAATTAATTTATGGTTACAAATTATAACATGGGCACATTACTTCATTTATAACAGTCACGCAAAATTTTGGAAATAATAATCCGATGTTTCCTAG